TCAGTTTTTAGTCCTCCTAAAGTCAGTGGGAATTTGAGTAAAGGCTAATATAAAAACAGCAGGTGGAAAAATATATGATGTTTTCTTCATGATGTTTCCAACAGATTGTTTTTGGGTATTTAGTCCCACCATGGAGCAGGCCGGGAATCCATTGGAGGATAGGGTCAACTTTATGGCAGTTCCTAATCTCAACTGCCTTTCTTAAAGGGTCTGAGAAGTGAATAGATATTTTCCCAGATGCAAAGGGTGGTTATCTGCTAGTGTTACATTGTCTTTCCAGCTATTGCTACAAAAAAGTAGTAAGTCTTACCACCACCTCTTATAGCTGAATATGATGCACAGAGAATTAAACTCTACTGTTAGAAATATTGGCCCAAATTCATCTCCGAACATGGCCACCTTGGTTAACTGGTGCCATTAAAATTACACTGGGTTGTAGTGAGAAAGTATTGACAGTCTTTTGAAACAAATGTTCTTTTTATTCTTTCCCTTTGAGACTGCTATTTCAGTAAGAAAACAAAACAAAGCCGAAGCACCTTAGTTTTTTGTAGTTAAAATATAACAAGATTTTTTAAAAAATGAAAGATTACAAAATGAAATAGATGCAAATATATTCACGCCAAATATAACCTGGCCTGGCTAAGTCAATAAAATGGATTTATATTTTTATGGCAGTAGCAGTTATCAGGTTTATTCAATAAACAGTCTGTTTTGAACAGCCTTTACAATCAGTTTGGTGCAATACCCTAGGGTGCGATTATCCAATAATATACCTACTCCTGCTTCTACTTTTCTGCTTAATTACATGTCATAAATCTTTGTTCCTTATGTAAATTAGTAATTTTGTACAAAACATAACAACAAGGCAGCTTTTGCATATGGAACTACGCTTCATCTGTTTACATATTTACTTTAGTGGTGCTCCACTCAATTAAAAATATTCCCTGGCTTCTACCAGGTGGAAGCTTGCATACTGTTGCAAAAACAGTCTCTTCACCAGGTAGTTTATTCAGCAAAAAAAAGCACTGGTGAATTTTACAAGTTTGTTTCTTAGATATGCAAAATGTGCTTTATAAGTGCTAATTATTAGGCATTTTGCACAAAAATCTGAGCCAAACCCTTCAAAGTCATTAAAATATGCAATTTACCAAACAAGAACAAAAATAACATAAAATTCAAGTTTGTAACAAAACTGCAAAATGCTGTTTGTCTCTGGAAAGGCCATCCGATGAAGTGAGCTGTAGCTTACGAAAGCTTATGCTCAAATAAATTGGTTAGTCTCTAAGGTGCCACAAGTACTCCTTTTCTTTTTGCGAATACAGACTAACACGGCTGCTACTCTGAATACTAATGTTGTTTGCCCTCTTCTCCTCCTCCAGATTTTTTTCCCCTCTAATCTATATATGCTAATTGTAGGGAATATAACTTCTGGAAACAAAATTAAGAGGATATATTGACAGTATGTGGGCTGTAAATGGAACCTGATCTATTTTCAGCATGATTTTAAAATAACCCTGTAGTTGCATGCAAATTGTAATATAAATTCATGAAATCATTTTTTATTACAGTAGCATCTAAGGGTTCAAATCAAAATCAGGGTCCCATTGTGCTAGATCAGGGGTGGGCAAACTTTGTGGCCCAAGGGCCACATCTGGGTATGGAAATGGTATGGTGAGCCATGAATGCTCATGAAATTGGGGTTGGGCTGCAGGAGGGGGTGAGGGCTCCGGCTGGGGGTGAGGGCTCTGAGGTGGGGCCAAAAATGAGGTGTTCAGGGTGCAGCAGGGGTCTCTGGGCTGGGGCAGGAGGAGGAGGAGGAGGAGCAGGATGAGGGACATGCCGCTGCTCCTGGGAGTGCGTGTACGCACGGAGCGGTCCCCGACCCTGCTCTCTGGCTGGAGCACGGGAGCAGCTGCAGCTCCACTCCCCAGCGGGAGCTCGAGGGCCGGATTAATTCGGCTGGCAGGCCAGATGTGGCCCACGGGCTGTAGTTTGCCCACCCCTGTGCTAGATACTGTACAAACGTATATGTAATAGACAAGGTTCCTACAATGAATGTCCCAGTCCTACAAATTATTCCATGTGGGTATATCCCTGCATTCATCTATCTGAGCATAAGGTTTGCTCACATGGTGCACCTGCCGAGACTAGGCCTAATTTGAAAAAAGATGTAACAAATGACCATGACAAAGTAAGGAAGTAGGGAGATAATGAATATAATATCAAATAGTGGCATAGTTCTTGCACAACTTGGTGGTTCCAACTCATCTGAAAGACTTTTTTTTAAATACATAAAAGTCTGCAGCACTTTCTAATCATCATTTCATGTCAGCAATTAGGACATATATGGGTAACTTTCTAATCTATCTAACTTTTTATACCGTCACTGTAATATCTGAGTGCCTTCCAGTACTGCATTAAGCTACATGACTGCAAATCTGTCACATTGTTTGTGCTCCCAGTGGAGTAGAGTTTCTTGTTTTGGTAGTGGTTTTTTAAAAATACACCTGTTTCTATGTGTTATATTAGAGAAGGTAAGGTCAAAGAAATGTGCTTTGCACATGAAGCAGAAAGTGATGCAGTTTATGATAGTCCTTAATTCCCAGAAGAAGGTTGTTTCCCACAGATAAGCTTTACTCTTATTACTAAGGTTAGATTTTGTCATAGTTATTTTTAGTAAAAGTCAGGGACAGGTCACAGGCAATAAACAAAAATTCACAGAAGCCCACGACCTGTCCCTGACTTTTACTAAAAATAACAGGGGAGGGACTTCCCTGAGGGGGATGGGACTGAAGCCCAAGCCCTGCAGGGGGGATAGGACTGACAGCCCGAGCCCCACCATCCGCAGGGGACTCCAGCCCCCACTGCAGCCATTGACAGCTCCAGCCCTGCCATTGCAATGGGGGCCGAAGCCAAAGAAGTCATGGAGGTTCGTTATGGAATCCCTGACCTCTGTGCCTAAATCATATCCTTACTTATTACTGTTCCTTTGTGCCAGAGGAACAAAGTTTTCAACTGTCTTCATCACAGAGCTTTAAATATCCTTTTAGGCATCCTGAGCCCAGGCCACAGAGTGCTTTGAAGATAAGGACTGAGACATTAAAGTTGATTCAAAATTCTATGGGAAGCCCATGCAGAGAGTAGAGAACAGGTGTGATGTGCTCATGGTAGCCTGTGTTGCTGAAGAGATGCGCTGCAGCATTTTGTGCTAATCATAGTTGTGCAAATTTGAGTTTTCTAAGTGCTAAAGGTTTCATGCCCGCATCTATTGCATTGTGGTAGTCCAGCTGAGAAGTGACAGCATGAATAACTGAGGCCAGATCCTTGTCCTCCAGGATGAGATGGAGTCTCCTAGCTAACCGGAGATGGTAGAAAGTGTTATTTGTGGCTGTTGTAGGGTGAGAGCTCAGCTTCAGCAAATCCACGAGTACACCTGACCATGGATTGACCTGACCAATTGTGGATGTGAAAACTTCAATCACAAGGGACTGCAGGATGGCTGCAGACTCCTCAAAATGCTTTCCTCTGCTGACCAGCATCACTTCCTTCAGTACTATTCAGCTGGATTCAAATCAGTGACTTAAAGGTGAAAGGTTTCAGAGTAGCAGCCGTGTTACTCTGTATCCATAAAAAGAAAAGGAGGACTTGTGGCACCTTAGCAACTAACGAATTTATTTGAGCATAAGCTTTCGTGAGCTACAGCTCACTTCTTCGGATGCATTCAGCTGTAGATCACGAAAGCTTATGCTCAAATAAATTTGTTAGTCTCTAAGGTGCCACAAGTCTCTCTGCTCCACTAGGAGAGGAAGGCTTGTCCAGTAGTTAGGGCACTAGCCTGGGCCTTAAGTTGGGAGACAGGGTTCAATTCTCTGCTCTCCCACATGCTCCCTGAGTGACTTTGCATGAGTCACTTAAACCCAGATCTTAAATGGTATTTAGGTACCAAAATGCCTCTGTGGATCTGGGCCTCAGTTCCCCATGTGGGGTGAGCGAGAGCGCCTGTCTGGGAGAAGAGGTAATGGTCATTACCCCTTCCTACCCACAAGGGGCCTCTGAGGATAAATACATTGGGAGCCTCCTGCAGCAATGGGGAATCATACAAGTACCTTAGACTGACGAAAAGGAGGACTTGTGGCACCTTAGAGACTAACCAATTTATTTGAGCATGAGCTTTCGAATCCGATGAAGTGAGCTGTAGCTCACGAAAGCTCATGCTCAAATAAATTGGTTAGTCTCTAAGGTGCCACAAGTCCTCCTTTTCTTTTTGCGAATACAGACTAACACGGCTGCTACTCTGAAACCTGTCATTAGACTGACAGACACCGATCCCCAGCTCGTTTTCAGAGCTCTTACAGCCTCTGCTCCAGGCTGAGGGGCGAGCCTGGCGGCAGCTGTGACCACACCGAGGTCTCCTCCTCAGCGGCTACCCTCGGGCTCTTTGCGGCCAGCTCCCTCCCGGCGGGGAAGGGGGAAGTCCTGTTTTCCCGCCCCTGGCGATCCCGCAACGCCCGACGTTTGTGTCACGCCATTGGTGACCTGGTACGTCCCAGGCCGAGGCCCGGCCCCTGGCCGCAGCCAGCCCCGAGCAGCATCAGCTAACGGCCTAGCCCAGCCCCCCTCTCGGCGGTTAGTGCCGGGGGGGGGGGGGGGCGAGTCTGCGCGCGTGCGCCCTCTGCAGCGGCTGCCGGGCGGGGCGATGAGTCTGGCGCCAACTAACCCCGCCCCGCGGGTCTCGGCCGCTCAGGCTCCGCCAGCCCCGCACTCGCAGCAGCCTGAGACTCGCGTCGGGCGGGGAGCGGGCAGGACCATACTCGCCGGGTTGGCTTAGGTCACGTGCCTCCTCTCCACCAATAGTTGCGCACTAGTGGACGGCATCTCCCCGTGCCACTGACTGTTCCCCAATGGTTGCCCCGCCCCCAACGCGCGGAGCGACCAGAGAGAGGATGAGAGTGCGAGATCTCGCGGTAATTGCCCGCCAGTATTTAAGCTCTGAGGCGGCATGGGCTCGGTCTCTGTCCTCGCTCCCCGTCCTGGTGGGTGAGGTGACTCCTCGGTCCTGCCGCCCCGCTGAGGGCCGCGCCGGCTGGGCAGCAGGGACCGTGCGGCCTGACTCCTCCATGGGGAGCTGGGCCCGGGCCGGCGGCGGAGCGCTCCTCGCCCCAGCCTGGCGGGGCCGTTCCGCCCGGTGGGGGCGGGGGACGCCGCTCCGGGGACTCGCGCGCGCCTCTCCGACTCTGCCCCGCCGCCCCGGGTCGCCGGTGGATGCGGGAGCCGGGTGAGGCTGCCGCTCCGGAAGCGCGTCCGACGCGGTGGCAGAACGGACTGAGCTCTGCGGAGGTAGAGACGGGCCGGCTCGCGTGTGCCGGCGCCTTGCCGCGGGGGGGGTGACGGGGCTGGCGGCGAGAGGCCTCCACCCCAGGCCGGCTCGGGCTGACCGATGCGTCCTGTGCCTGCCCGCGCCTCGGGTGCCCCCCTGAAAGCGGGGGGGGGGGTTGGCTTGTGCGCTGAGCGTTGTTAGCGGGACTGTGCTGCCCAGCAGGGCCGTGGTCTTTCTCCTAGCAAACGCTGGCGATATTACCGTAACAAACTAAAAATCTTCATCCACTGATCTCGCCCTGCGCTTGGCTCCCTGAACAATTCGTTTCACAAACTGCGGAGCTAACTGTTATGGCAAAGTATTTAGCATCTTTTTTTTTAACGGAGTCTAGTCCTGTGTCTCACTTCAGAGAGACACTGGCACATTGAAATTAACATTTTGATAGATAAACTGCTCAATCTGCGTTAAATTACTGTGTTGTAAACACTTGGAAATCACGGGGGGAAGCAACTTGCACAATTAATGTTCGTTTAACAAATTGCATTTTGTCTCCATGTGGACAATTAAAATTGAGTACTGTAACCCGTTTCATTTACTGGTTCTTGTCTATCACACGGTGGATAAATTCTTCAGCAAAGCTGTCCATTGATCTGTTTTTTTTTAAAAAAAAGGATCATTTCTGCTGTGTATTGGGTGGTGTTTTTTTGGTTTTTTACTCCGTTTAAAAGTGTCCCTGAAACCTTTAACAGTGTTGATTCTTGTGTGTAACTATTGCCATGTGCTTTAATCGTTACACTGCTTGAGTACCTCATGTATGCTGTTACAATATGTATCTGTGATTATAGTGAAAAGTTACTAAGTTTTGGAAGGTGAACTTTCACTTTTTAGATATTTAATAGCCACATTAAGTATGAATTAAATACAAAATTATCATCTTTCTGCAATAGATTTCTTATTCTAAACATGGATATGATTTTTTAAACTTACTAGGGCTGACCATGGATTAAATGGCTACCAGTTTAGGAAAACAAATATTTTTTTCTAAACTTGAACCATTGACTTTTTGCTTTAGAATCTGAATTGATTATTAATAGTTGGATTGTATACAAGGGATTCTATAGAATAAAACCTAAATTATGGCTGGCTGTTATCACTAATTTTAAAAAGTGAACTTACATTGCTTATCTATTGAAAATGTTGAACTTTACTATGTTATGTTTAAAACCTATTTAACGTGTCCTTTAAAATATTGTGTAGATAAATGGTCACATGTGACTGAAATGCTCATGAAGACACCTCTTAGGAATGAAGAAATTCCTCTGCTGGAAAGTAAGGGATTCTAATTGGATGAAAGTTTGCCTTGATGGTTACTTTGTGGTAGATGGTTGGTTGATAAATTGTAGGAATTTTTATGAAATACCTACAAATCAACACTAAATTACAGTGAGTTTGTTGAGAATAATATGTTAAAGGAATTTTATGATTAGTAATATTTCCCCTTTTTTGCTTTGCCCTCTTAAGGCAGACTGTGCTTTAGGTGGCCAACACAGAGGGGTATAGTAGTTCTCTCTAAAACCCAGAGGTGAGATTAAAACTCTTCTCTGGATCCTGTCGGGAGGAACAAACTCATGAGAAATCCATTTAATGTGTTTCAATTCCTTTTGAATAAAATTGTATCTGTTTTCTTCAGGTTCATTGACTTGAACCATGGGTGCTAGCATCAGATTACCATGCTTAGCTTTACTTCATGGTGTTAGGGAATTACTTGTGATCACATGAAGCTTTTCCTGGTTTCAGAGTCCTCCAGAATATATTTACAATTATCGGGTGCCTAGATCTACTTCCTAGAACTTGCAAGACACTAACATGAATCTCCTTGAACGTGAAACTACCCTTAAAGAGTGACAAATTCCCAGGTATGTAATGTAAATAGGAGCATCACACTGAGGTGGGTGGGGACATTTGTCACCAGTTGAAGTAAATTTGTGTACCTAGCCAACTTTCCAAGGCACTTTCATGGAAACTTCTCTGTGTCTCAAGAGAATAAACATTTCAGTGTAAGATTGTCTGGGAGTCCTCTGCATCATAACTTTCTTTTGCAGTGAATGTTTACTAGTAATAGCTGACAGTGTAATTTACTTTAGAGCTATAATTCTTGTCACATGACTACTCAATTCAATTTATTGGCATAAAGTAAGCTATAAACTTGGTAGCTTGACTTTCATTCTTGGCTCTCTGAATGTTGTCATAGCACTAAAAGGCCTTGTCTACATTACAGCTAGATTTGCTGATATGGCTCAATTTTAACATACCTTATAGTTTAAATCCTAGTGTGAACACTCTAAAATTGAAACCTGGCTTAAATTGATTTAGCTGACCTCCACTTTAATTGGAAATGGCTGAGGAAAGCTGGAGGCATGATGACAAATATATTGCAATTGTGAATTATTTTGCTGGTGATTAAATTTTTTTTCTTCCACAGGGAAAAATGAACAAAATATAAGGGATTCAAACTTGCAGCTCCTGCTTTGGTGAAAGTGTGGTAGTGATTAAAGTACAATTAAATGATTATGGATGAAATCAGTAATGTATAATGTGTAGAAAAACAGTAAGATAAGTAATGGCTAGAAAAGCACAACAGTTGATCACTTCAGTTTGCATGGTTAAATTTTTGACCCAGCTCATGTTTCCATTCTGAAATGGAATCAAACTAGTCATTCATCTTTGAATTTACTTTGAATAAGTTGTCTGGGATTTTGAGACAAAATTAGTGTTTGGGGAATATTTTTTACACTATATTCAACTAATAAAGAATTTTGAAGTACAATGTACCTGGGCATTTTTGCATACAAATGCAGCAGAGCATTTGAAGCATGAAGAGGAGGAAGCAGATGAACCTGAAACATTAGATACAGTTCCTATCCCAGCATCTCATTGCAGATGACTCAGACCTTTTCAGGCATTAGTATTTCTGCTTACACCTTGCATATCTGGGTTACAATCTAGGCAATAGGCCACTTACACACTGAGACAAACAGGTCACTTGTGGTCCACAGACTGAAGCTGGAGTAATTTATCAGTTGGGGCAGATTCCACTAATTAATGACTTGGGGAAACCCTGTGTAGTCAAAATATAAAACAAATTACAAAAAAGCATAATTTACCCTAAGACGCTAAAATTAACCTTTGTTTTAGGGTAGAAAGACACACCAACCTTAGTCACCTTTTGTGAAAAGTCAAGTCTTCATAAAACTTGAAGAGACCTTAATGTTTTCGTGCGAGTGGTTTCCTACAGACATTTACGTAGTAAAATAGAGAAATATTTGCGAAGTGCTGTCCTTACACTTATTCCAGTTGGCAAATGAAGATAACCTGTGCTTCAATCCTGTGTTCTTTGTAGTGGCAGGCCATAGAAGAGTGAGTTACAAGCCTACTCTGTCACCCTATAAAGAAAGGGGTGGAGCATGCTATTGTATTGTCTTCCTTAGTCTCAAAACTCATCTAATGGTCTTGCAATTGTCCACTGAATTAACTAGATAAAGTAGTATAACCAGGCATTTGCCTATGACCAACAGCTTGGGATAAGGGGTTCAGGTTGTGGGAGGGAGCTCTGGGCTAGGGGTGCAGGCTTGAGTGGAGCTGGGAATGAGGGCTTTGGGGTGCAGGAAGGGGCTCAAGGCTGGGGCAGGGGATTGGGGCATGGGCTTACTTTGGGTGGCTTCCAGTAAGCAGCGCAGTGGGGGTGCTAAGGCAGGCTTCCTGTGCCCTGGAAGTGGCCTGCAGCAGGTCCAGCTCCTAGGCACAGGGCCCACAGGCATAGGAAAAACTATTCTCCCCCTACTGTTACTTGCACCTGCCTGTCAGCAGTTTGAAATGGGCCACCCTGACTACTACTACAGAAGTGATTTTTTTTTCCTCCTGTTGATAATAGCCCACTGTAATTGAATTGTCTCATTAGAACTGATCCCCCCCACTTAATAAGGCAACTCCCATCTTTTCATATATTGTGTGTATATATATCTTCCTACTATTTTTTCCACTCCATGCATCTGATGAAGTGGGGTTTTAGCCTACAAAAGCTTATGCCCAAATAAATTTGTTAGTCTCTAAGGTGCCACGCGTACTCCTTGTTTTTGCTGATACAGACTAACACGGCTACCACTCTGAAACTGTATTGGTGACCCCTTTCACACAGCAAGCCTCTCAGTGTGACCTTCCCTACTCCCTCCCCTTATAAATTAAAAACATTTTTTATATTTAACACTATTATAAATGATGGACACAAAGCAGCGTTTGGAAGTGGAGACAGAGCTCATGACCCTTTGAGGGGTCGCCATCCCCAGTTTGAGAACCCATGCTATAGAGCAAACACATCATTTAGATATGCAGTCTCGACTTAAAGGAATGGGGAAGCCACCATATCCCTTAAATTGTTTCAATGACTAATTAAGCCAGTTTATAAAAATTCATTTCAGATTTGTTGTGCACAGTACAGTTTTGGAGGGCTTGGCTGGATTATATATATTTTTTCTTTTGGGCACGTGTTCCACTTTAGCTTCTTATATGGAGTTTCCGAAGAGGCTGTGCACCTGATGAATAAACTGTTAATGAGGGGATAGTGCATTTTCTTTTCATGTCCACATTACATCCTAGGTTATATGCAAAAAGAAAAGACAAATCTTGAATAGTACTTCAAAAAAAATTTTGGGGGGAGGAGAAAGGACCATTAGTAGATGGAGACCATACTAGAAAAAATGTAAATTGTTGAAAGCAGTGTAGGAGAATCACCAAAACGTAACACTTGAGAATTAAGACCTAAATGCTCAAAAATAAGTTTAGTTTTTAAGTTTCAGAGTAGCTGCCGTGTTAGTCTGTATTTGCAAAAAGAAAAGGGGTACTTGTGGCACCTTAGAGACTAACAAATTTATTTGAGCATAAGCTTTTGTGAGCTATAGCTCGCTTCGTTGGATGATGAAGCTCACAAAAGTTTATGCTCAAATAAATTTGTTAGTCTCTAACGTGCCACAAGTACCCCTTTTCTTTTTAATTTTTAAGTTTTTGGGCCCAAAATCCAGACCCCTTCCCTACAGTACTGCTGGGAGCTTTTGGAGCAAGTATTCAGCACATTAGCTAGCGCTGCCATATTGTGCTATAGATTACCTTTGCTGGCTATAATGAGAACTAAAAAGGGAGCTCTGAAATATCTTGTAATATTGGGTTTTACCAGCTTGAATTAATGTCTTCTAGCATAAGATCCAACAATCATGCAAGTAGTTAGAGTTGGACTTTGGAAAAAATACCTTTTAAATGTTAAACTCTAAGATACCAACTCCATAACTGAATGTATATAGACTTAAAATGTGAGTATTTTTAAAACATATTCCTCTCTCTTTATTTACCTACCAAGACCAGAGTCTTCACCTTTTACAAATGTTTATTCTTTTACTGTGGTGAAAGCATTTTCCGCCCCCAGTTATCTGCCTCCTTTGAACCTTTTTTGCTCTCGCTATAGGACTTTATTGCTACTTCACTAATGTACAAATTTCTGCACACTAATGGTATACTTAAAGCAGGTGTTTCTCAGTAAGCTCCACTCTACCACTAGCTAACTCTTAACTTTTCAGTAATTACAAATGTCAAATGCAGATGATGTGGCATGAGAGGGGTGTGCAGAGAAATAGTAATCCAATGAAGTGAGCTGTAGCTCACGAAAGCGTATGCTCAAATAAATTTGTTAATCTCTAAGGTTCCACAAGTCCTCCTTTTATTTTTGCAGATAAAAGGAAAACCTTTGTTTCAGAACATACTCCTTCTAGAAGGGATTGTAAGGATAAGAGTAGACAAATATTCCTTTGTAACCAAGAGAACTATAGTTCAGAGAATGTAGTCACCCACAACTTAGTTTATTGCTCCAAAGTCTTCAGTGCAAATGAGTATTGACTATTCTTGGAACTAATGCACATGTAAGTTAAATGAAACTGGCCACTTTCTATATACGGAAAATATCTGCCAACACTTGTTTACATGGAAACTAGAGTTTTTTTAATGCACAGCTTTTAGAATGGTTGACAAGGTTTACAGTAAAATTGGTTTTACTACAAAATCAAAATAGTTTTAGATTGTAAACATCAAACAGAAATGTCAATTATACAGTGAGCACTTTTAGTGTTCTGGAAAATTAATACTTTACAATACATTAATATAATTATGAGATAAATCCGTTAGTGGCCTTTCTATGTTACATGCATATGGTTTATATTTTGTAAGAAGTGCTGGCATAGATTGTGGTTTTGAATTGGTGATGTTTAAAAGTATAATACAAATTGATTGAAAAAACAGCTGACTTCAGTGAACATCCAGTGTCTTAGACAATTTACTCATTTAATTTTGGAGTAATTGAGATTCATGGAAAGCTGCAAAAAATATTGTATTAAAAATAATGGAATGAACGGATGTTTAATTTTTAGGTACATTTACACAAACAAAAGGAGTCAATGACTTATTCCTATTCATACAAAATTATAACCCCCACTCTGATTAACTGATTGGGATTAATTATATTTGTATGGCAACTTTAACATGTAGAGCAACAAAGTATGATATTACGTGGATATTGTGACTTGACATCCAGGAATAAGCTGGAGCAAATGCAATCAGTGAGGAAACATAAAAACTGTTGGACTACGTAGGCTGTGGTTCTGCAGGCAGATCCTTCCAGCTGTATAGTGTGCCAGTGACTAACTGGATAGTGTCTTTTTCAACTTTATATATATATATATATAGTTATATTTTATATATCTATAAGAACTTTCCCAGGCACTATGGTAATACAAAAAATGTCATTTTTCTCTAAGTTCACTGGAAGAGATATAAAGGAGAGGTGGAAGGCATACATTCTCAGGTGGCACTGGAAAATAGTTACTCTAAATCACAAAGAGCCGAATACTATTATCAGTCACACAGATATAAATTTGAAGTAATTCAGCTGAACTTAGTAAAGTTACGCTGGTGTAACTAATGGCAGATTTGGGCTTGATATGTGTTTTCTTACATCTTGTAGACTTTGCTAGAATGTATAGCTTGTGCACCTGAGATCACTACTGCTCCTCTCCCTCCCCCCGTTTTCTCTGCGCTCTGAGTGTCTCCTGTTTTGAATCTGGTTGGTGATTGCAAATTTAGGTTAGCCCTGACTGACTGCTCAAGCATCAGCTCCTGCTTTGAGTGGAATTGACTGAACATACAAGATTGCTGTGAAATTTATTTAGCAGATGTTTCTCCAAGTCCAGTTTTAGGAGCTAATGGTCAATCAAATAGACATTGAGAAAATGATAGCTGAACATCCATTCATTTGTTTTTTTGTGCTGGCAGCCCATTAATGAATGAAAGCTACTGTGTCATCTGGCCCACTTTCTTTAAATCAGTGGCTGTTACCACCAGTTTGAGAACCACTGATCAAAAACAAAAAGGGTAGATTAAGAAATTACATTTCTTTAGCCTGATTAACAATGCTCATAATTTCTGCAGCAAACATATGGGGCAATTAAAGAACTTTTTTAAAGGAGGTAACCTAAATGGTAGTTCATCTATGCCAGAGGATTTTGCTTAATCTGGCAGTATACTCGATATTGTCTTTTGATCAACAAAAAAAATACAAAACTTTTGAACAACTTATTTATCAGACTAACCATTCAGGCAACCATTTAATTTGGGGCTCTGACAAATACTGTACTGACAACTCAGTTCCACAACTGGGTTCAACCTGTTTTTATTAGAGATGGCCAGAGCTGAGAAACTCAGATACAAACTTCCTGAAATGGTAGCTGGCTT